TCACTTTTGTACTACAACACGCTCTGCAGGTTTGTTGCACATGCATGAATGGAGATTTGTGGTTTTTACACCCTTTTGGATGTCCTGGTTGAAAGAGGTGAAGGCTTCAAGAGAGAATGATCTGCTTTAATCTCTTCTGTGCCACAGGCCATGAGGATTGTACCTGCACCTGCCTTTTTTTCCCCATGAGCAGTTCTTCTTGCTTTTGTGAAGCTGTTGCATTGTATGCAGCAGTAGCATCTTGGACATTTTGACCCTAAGATGCAGCTACGAAATCAAAGCTCCATTTAATCTCTCCCGGAGAAGCAGCTATGCAGTTGTGATTGACAGATGTCTCATCAGAAGTGGCAGCTTACAGGCAGCAGAATGACACTAGAGGTGTGTCAGATGGGTGTCAGGAGAGTGGTTGGTAAATGAATTCAATCTGTTCTTTGATATTTACACTTTATTTACATAGCTCTGAGATTTTACTGATCACAGCAACTGGTGTCTTCATGTGTCCTGTTGCCAGTGGAGAGGCAGGAATGAGGATGCAAAAAGATCCTCATAAATGCAGTTGCAGTGTCATTGCTGGATAGCAAAGCAAAGAGTTTTCCTGAGTTACTGCAGTATTTTGTTTGCTAAATTAATTTCATTCTGGGGAAGGAGGCTGTTTGTAAGGATTTCAGTAAATCAGGAGTACTTATTAAATGTAGGAACTGATCCTACTCCCACTGAATTAAATTAGAGCAGATTTGAAGCTCCGGTGTATTTTACAAATGATATTACAGGATTTTTATGTATCTGAAAGCAAAGACGATGGTGATGTTACACAGTAAACGTTATTTCATGGCACTGATTTCTAAACAACATGTGAACTACTCTTGATCCTGAGTAGGCTTAAATCTGTTTGATATATCTAATTGATCATTAACATTGAAAGATTATGTAAACATCAGTGTTTCTTCCTTAACTTTCGATAGGATGCGGAGAATCTACTCTGGTTTCCTTGCTTTAAACTAAATTCTTTGACAATCACAAGGCTATTTTCTCTTTTCTTTGTGACTTACTTTAAATAATGTAAAATCTACTTGTTATCCAAGAGTACCTAAAACTAACTTTGTAGTGGTTATTTGTATTACCTGGATTGTAATGTAACTGTTCAGTGTAACCACATAGGATTTCATACTTTCATAAAATAAATTGGTAGATTTGCAAAATAAATTCAAAACAAAAGCTTTCTTTTGTTAGATTTTTCTTGTTTATCTGTAAGTACCTGTCTGTCTGAGGTTAAATAGCAGCTGTATTCAGCTAAGCAGAAGTTGTTAGCCAGCCTGTCAAAGGTTTCTGGGATATTCAGTCGTTTGCAATGACATAGAACCATAAAGAACCATAGACTAGTTTGGTTGGAAAGGGCTTTTAAGATCATCTTCAAGTCTGTCATTGTTTTATGTCTCAAAGTCCTCAGCAGCATCTGTAATAATCGTTACCAGATGCATAAATGAATGGTTCCAGGCCTGAAATAGTTTCAGGAGGGCCCCTATATTCATGAGTTCCCTTTTGCAAACTAAGAAGGTGATTGTGAAGTGCAGTGACCTGCAGCCACAAACCTGTATTTTCTGTGCTTACCTTTTTCACAGGATTGTACTATTCTGTATTGTAATCACCTCTGTTATTTTTGGTCCCCCTCAAACCACAGTTTATTTGGACGCAGCTTACCTCCTAAAACGCAACACAACACTAATGTGAAGTATCTAGAGGCTTCAAGTGACCAAGTCTGCATCGTGTTTTTTCCAGTGAGTTGCTGAGATGGCATAAAGAAATTTCCACTCCTGCGCCAAGATAAGTGTGTGTGCTGCTCTCACTGCATCCCCTGAGATGGAGGAGATGGAGCTCTGACTTAACCCTTGCTCTTTGCAAGTTTTGCAGCAGTTTATTAAATTACATGGAGAAAGAATAACGTCCCTGGAGTTCTGTGATAAGCATACTGAGAGTGGGAGGGAGGAGGCCATCCCACCTCATTTTGGTGACCAGGCTTTCCCCTTGCAATCAGTTCAGTCTATTAAACTCTACCAGAGGGTGATCCCAAGCCACTTACCCACTACCACTGGTTTACACAGGGAAGCCATGTCTCCCACGTGAGCGTGTAATGTTGCATGATAATGGATGTCTTCTGTATGGGCATGTCCTGCAGCTCCGGAGCACAGAGTAAAAGTGCCCCTAGTTAGTTTAAACTGCAACCCACTCTTGCACACCCAAAACCCAGCTTGCTGAGAAATCCTCTAAATACAGTCAGCAAATATGAATGAGAACAAACTTCACCCACATTGTTTGTAAGGAATACTCTCTGATCACGGTCTCTGTACAAGGTAGACCCTAGAATGAAAGCCAAATCTTGGGGATTTTCCCATGAGAATCAGCTGCTTAAAGGAAGAATTATTAGACCCACACTCCTCAGGCTAGGTCAGTGTTCAATCAACATCTGCTTTCTATCTGCATGTTATGAGATATGCATGAATAATAACAGTTCAGTTTCTTAAAGCTCCTGTAACCGGACTCATCATGATCCTATTCACAGTGAAGAAATTCATCTGCATGAATTTAAAGCACGTTTCCATTTGGATAGCAACAACTCATTGAAAAGGGGGCTGCATTAAGGACGATTGTACTTTAATTTAAGGTGTGCTCCTTAAAAACTACAGTTCTCCTTAATGTTGTAGCACTCATCCGGTGAGCCAAGTCTCCAGCCAGAGACATGTGATAGAGACGCCACTATTTCATTCAACTCAGTCAAGTTACAGCTTTATCGACTTCTGTCAATAAAGACCCAGCTGGGTCTCTGTCCATGTTCCTTATTGTATAGCAGCCCATAAAGAGGTCTCCAAACACTGCCAACTTTTCTGCATGTGGAAGGGGGATTTACACCATCACTCAAAAAAAAACGCCCTGTTTTGCTAGATGTCCAAGTATCACAAAAGCACCCAAAGCTGGAAAGTTGAGCTTTATCCTTGGTAAGACAGTGCCTATTCTTTGGTTACGCCTGGCTGCCAATGATTGTAATAATACTGAGCAATTAGGCCTCTCATTTTTGTTAGGCTAATTAATTGTTTGCACAGTGCCCTGAATATGGAATCATTTTCCTTTGCAAGGAATAAAAGGATTAGCCTGGCTTCATCCCAAGCCGCTCAGAATGTATTTTATTTATTTTATGGGAGAAAGATTTTCTTTGCAAGCCCCAAACACAAGCCATAGACTGGAGTGTTAATGCCTGCGCTGGGACATTCTCATCAGCAGGGGTGCACACAGACTGCACATATGTCCATCCATCTGCATCCACACTCCATATGGTATCTGGGGTTTCTGGTGCTTGTCAATGAGTCCATGAAGAGGCTGGAGCCACCACCGTGTGTGTGCTGCTGGGATTGAATATCAGGCGCTGGGAGGGTGATGAAGAGTTCCCCCAGGACATCAGCTGTCCCCATACAGCACCGAGGGCAGCACCACTCTAATGATGAGTGCTGGGTTGATCACTCGAAGGGCAGAGCACTGCAGTGTATAAATGTACTGGAGGCTGTCTCAAGAGGTTTGTACTCTGAGTAAATCAAAGGCAGATGAAGCCCGGGCCAGGATTTCATGAAGAAGGGCACCCGGTAGATGTAATATTGCAGAGGCTGTTGCTAGCTCTTTTTTATGTTGGTCCTGCTCTGTGCCTCTTTGTGCTACCGTTTTATTAAATACATATTTCATGTTAAATCATGCCAAGTGTAACGCAAGCTTGCAGAAAGTGGAAAGTGAGGGGATGTATTCAGCTGCCATTACACAAACTTCTAGCCAAGTAGTTGGAGATAGCGGGAGTTCCCCTTGCCTTAACCTTTCCCTGCCTCTGGCATAAGGCCTGTCATGGGCCATCTGGAAGAGCTGAAAGTGGTGATGGTGTCCTGTGCTACTTCCTCTAAAGATCAGGACATGGAGAACAGCCTGGGCCACCCCAAACACGCAGGAAAGGAATCAGAGGTTGACATAAAGCAGGGACCTTACTTGGCTCTATGTGCCTGTTGTGACGGAAGGGATCATTCTGTGTTCAGGCTAAACCTGCAGAATTTAACTGAAAGTCAAACTCCTTTTGTTTATTTAATGCCTGGAGTCTGAGTGTTGCTTTTTAGACTTTGAACCTTCTTGCTGTCATGCAAATGTCCCTGATGTTAGTGCTAGCAGCCAACAGTCCCTGCCCCTACTCACGTCAAACGAGTAAATCCAGTATTTTGGGTGCAGCATTCTTGCCATAGCTTTGTTACATGTATGTGGTAGGGGATGTAAAGTAGCAACTGCAAAGAAAACAAGTCTGTCCTGCCATTATCTTGACAGCTTTTCAGTATTTCACTTACTTTCCCTCCGTGGTCCCTTCCCTTCACTTTCCTTCATGGTAAATAATCTTGAGTATCTTGATTAAAGGGAAAATCCAAGTTTTTCATTGTTCTTTCTTTTCTTTTGTCAGTTTTTCTCAAGCTTATCTCTCTTAAGTAATGACTAGGGTGGAAGACAATGGACCAGAACAGACACGAAGGAATTTGGACAACTGTCCTAAATTAGAGGATGGGTTTGCTTTGGAAATCCTCTCTGCATCACACTCTGTTACAGAGAGTTGGCTTTAATGGCAAATCTCTTGCAGCAGGGTGTCACTTCACTTCCATACATTACTTGAAATGCTTTATTAATTTGATGACCTCTTGGACTCCCAGAAGAAGCCATTTATCAGTGTTTTGAGGAAAGAGAGCTCCTCTGAGCTAAAGGGACTGTTTTGTTGCTCAGATTTATTGCTTGGTTGGCTTAATTCACCATTCCAGCATGATGATTTTTAGCTGCCGGGCAGTGGCCCTTTCAATGCTGAGACTAATTAACTGCTGGAACTCTTCTTAGTAGGGCTGTTTTCTTGCTGTTTGGTTTGGGTCTGGGCTTTTTTAATCCATGGAAATAAAGCAAACAGGATCCCTGAAAGAGGGGTTGCGTGGATACGGTATCAGCCCAGGCACAGCCCTGTGCTGAATGACTTTGTCACAAAGGAAGTAAGGCTGCCGGCTGTCCCTGCTGTCGATGTGACACTGTACAAAGGTAAGATGAGAAAAGAGACAACAACTGAAGACAGAGGAAAGGAGGGAAGCCAGAATCATGATAAAGAGAGAGCTTGGAGAGTAGCAAGAGATGTCTCTGATAGACAGCGAGGGATCCGCATCCATCAGAGATCTGAGCTATGGACCTTGCTGGCAGGTTAAGGTCAGTGGCTTTGGAGCTGCTGAGTCCTTACACCTCCCTCCTCTTGCTTCATCCCTGCTGCTGCTGTCACAGGCCCTACCTGTGAAAGAGCCATGTACTTTGTAGCTCAGACAGGTCATTGGGACTGTGGTTCCTCTTGTTGGGACCTTGTCAAAACCTTGCTTGGGAGGAGCAGGAAGGGAAAGGGGGGTGCTGGTTGTCAGGATGCATCCGGCTGCAGGAAGTTAAGCTGCTGGTTGTCATCACGGAATTCTGCCCATCAAAATGTTTTATAGGAGAAGTGAATAACCCCTGTGATATTTCATGGTAGTGTCTAAAGAAGGCATAAACAGGTCTAGAAGCTGAAGTGCAGATAAATCCAGTGTCTGTTGTACCTCTCCCTGCAGTGTTTCTGTAAAGTACTGCTGCCCTACTCCTTGCTTCAAGTCTGTAGGTGTGAATGAAATATAAATCACGGCTGTTAACTGAAAGCAGGGAATCCCTCGCTGGCTCCAGTGAGCTCCCCATCTGTCTTTGTTCCTGACAGTTTGATTACCTTTATCATCATCTTTAAATGCAGAGCTGCAAATACCATTAGTGGCCATAAAGAATGGCAATTCTTCCTGACATGCCTCACTCACAGTATCCTCCTCGACTGGCAGCAAGGAGCACAGGCCAGACACCTTCCTCCTATGGGTTTGGGAGCTCCAGTTATCCATTCACCTCCATCCGATTGTCTTACTCCCTTTCAGATGTCTCCAGGATTTCCAGCCTTCTCCTGAAGCTTCGTGGTCTAATTGCTCATCCCTAGAGCACAGGATTATGATGGAGCATCCCTGGGTGTGTGATCAAGAAGATCTTACGCCACTTGATTTGCTCCGAACAAAGGGTAAAGTGCAGAAGACCGGTTGCAGCTGGGAGAGAAGGGATCTCTGCTTTCCATGGGAGTGATGGAGCCCATCTGGGCTTGGCCAGATAGGGGAGAGCTCCAAAAGGATCATGAGGTTTTCTGCCTGCTGGCTCTCACCACAACCCACCCGTCTCTGACAACCCATTCAGCACTGGCTTTTCTCCATGGTGGCAAATGCCATGTGTTAAAGCCTGGGTGGGATCCAGCTCTGTGCCAGCCAGCCTGAACCCAGGACACAGGGGACACAGGAGGCTCAGGGACCTGGAGCAGCAATGTCCAAGGGGGGCGCTGGAATGAGAGCTTTGTGCTCTCCATCTCCATCCTTCCCACACTGAGAGCGATTCCCCACCACTGGTATCCTGCAGCAGGAGGGTGTGAGATAAAAGCCAGCAACGAACGGGTTTGGTTTGTTCTTTCTTTGTAGATTGACAGATCCAGCTCTGACTGAGGGATTTAGTGATTACAGCGACTTAATTGCATGGGGGAAACATTTCCTGGCAATTACTTACGTGTCTGCCTTGGCTCGCTGTGTGTTTCCCTTCATAGGGTGAACCGCAGCGCAGCCCTCCCATGGCACGCTGCCCTGGGGACACAGCCGGCCCCAGGGAAGGGCAGGCACAGCCTGTGTGGCACACAAGAATGCACCCATGCTCCAGCCAGGACTTCAGGACAAGCTCTGCCCCATGGGTGCTGCCTGTGTTGTGCCCCTGCCTGCTGCAAGCCTTGGGGAGGCTGGATGCACTCACCCACCATCCGCTTTGTGCAAGGAGCCAGGCAAGTCCTCAGTGGCCAAGGATGTCCTCAGCAGCCACCCCCCTCTCTGTCCCACCAGGGTTCAGGCCAGGTGATTCCCAGCATTGCTCTCCTCCGTCCATGCAGCAGGAGGCAGGGCTGATGGTCACCTTACAGGAATAAACGGTGCATAAAAATATTTGATCAATTAAGGTGACTGATTTGGCAGGCGCAGCTCCCGCTGTACCCATCCTCCTCACCACTGCCTCATTATCCAGCCCTAAATCAAGCTGTCACCGCTTTTTTTCTTTTGGCTTGAGGTAAAAGGAGGGAGGGAAGGAAGAAAGGAGGGAGCTGCTTCCCAGCGCTCACCTCCAAGGCAGAAAACCCTATCCCGGAGTGGGGCAATGAGCATCCCCTGCCCACCTTCCCCCCAGTACCTCCTCACTGCTCTCTCCCGATGCCTGAGGTGCTGCTCCTCAGTAACTTGATTGAGGAACAGGGAGTGGAGCTGTGACCACAGTGGCTGGGGCAAGGCTGCGTTAGCCAGAGGGGAGCCATCCCCAACTGCACAGGCTCAGTCACTGCTGTCCAGGAAGCACCCCGATAAGGGGACACATGTCAGTGGGGCAGGAAGGTCTGGAGGTGACCCATGGCTGGGTGTCTACTCTCTTCAGGTGCCACAATGAACAGAGCTCAACTTCTATTTGATTCTGTCCATGCCCTATGTGATGTGTCCAGAGTTCCTCCTCTTCCCTTAACTGGGACAAAGTGCCCCTGGAGCCTCACACCAATGGGCACACCTGCACTGTAGTATCAGATCAGCCTCTTTCCACAGAGGGACTCTGTGTGTGTGTGAGCCCCAGGCAGCAGACATGGAGTCTTCTACTGTTTATGAGAGAGAAATAAAATCTGTCTCTCTGGGACTCCCAGTGTTTCACAGGCACTGAGGACCAGTTTCTTGCATCGTCAGGACAACAGAGCATCCCTTGCCTTGCACACATGCAATACTCTCTCAGGAAGGGTCCCCCTCACCCTCTGCCTCCTGCAGCTTCACCCTGGATGCTGTGCCAGACCCACCTGCCTCTCCAAGTCTGCTAAATGAATTTGGAGCCATACTTATCGATTCACTCTGCTGGGACAGTGAAACAGCTGCAGACTCATCTGTTCATGGGAGCAGAGCCAGGCAGCCAGAGCATCCCCACTACACTGCCCCCCCCCAGCAGAAACAGCCCAAACCAGGCCCTTCCACACAAGAAAAGCTTCAACATAAGAAGGAAAGAACAGGGATATAAACACAGACCCTTGCACACAAAACTGATCTGGATGAAGTTAACCAAAACTGTGCTGTTTTCACCCCTGCACTAGCTCAGCAGGCAAAGCATTGCAGGGATGACAGCTCCAGTGGGCAGCCTGGGACCTCGCTGGACCTGCTGCTGAGGCCACCAGCAGATCAACTCTGTGCTGGGTCACTGATGCTGGAGTGACAGATTGCATGGGTGGCATGTTCAATCCATGCAGTTCAGTTTCTGTGCCTTTTTAACGCTGTCACAACCTGAGATGCTCCTGCTGCTTTCTCAGCCTTGCTAATTGGCTGCAAAGAGCAGATTTCTCTTCACATTGCAGCCACTTCTGAACTTGGGACTTGCCTCTAAAATCCAATTCCCACAAGTTTTTTCTTCCCCCCTCTTCCAAGCACTGCTCCATTCCATCTTGCAGAGCTGGGAAGCAGCACAAGCAGCAGCTTGCTCCAGTAGCCTTCCTTGGAAGACTAAGGGCAGGTTGCACACCCCACAGGGCTTTTCTGCTCCCGTGCTTGTTGTCCCAGTCTCCGGGACCCCTGGAAATAGAGGAGAGGAGATGCCAACCCACCACCTGGAGCCTGCAAGCAAGACCATGTCTGGAGGTCATCTCTTGGACTGAACCTCCAGCAGATGCTGTGATGTCAGCCTTTCCCACTCTGGCCTTATCTCCTCTTCTCTTCTCAACTGTTTGTTCCCCCCAGCAAGCCTTGTTGATCACATAGGTGCAGGATAACACCGTGTGGGATAACACCATGAGCTGGGTGCTGAGTGAAGCACCTGCATGAGTCACAGCAGCAGCTGTGCTCTCTGCCCATCCTCCAGCTCAGCCACCTCTGCAGCTCAGGGAGAAAACCACATTCCACGAAGCAATGCAAGGAGGAACAAGGGAGCTGTGCAAAGCCCCCTGACCCTTCTCTGGTTGCCCCTGAGCCTGCACTAAGGAAAACCCAGGTGATGTCCGTGTGTGCAATGCCAGGAGGATAAGCCAACAAGGATGATGCTGGCACTAACACACATACACACAACCCAAGCACTTGCCCAGAGCCTGTCACTCAGGAAAACAGGCTGAGACTTGCAAGGAGCTACTTGCCAGAGCAGAAAATGTTCATCTCCAGCACATCCTCCACTCAGCAGATGTGTTTCAGGTCCTGCTAAGCTGTAAAGAGATAAGCCAAGAGTTCTTGATGAGAGCAGATGGGCTCAGCTCCGTTAGCTATCATTGACTATCCAAAATGCACTAACCATCATGAGCCACAAAACCAACCTGCTGCTGGGCAGGAGCCATGGCCAGAGGCGGCTGCAGACAGATCCAGCACTGGAGGCTACTGGGTGCAGAGGAGGAGAAGCTGGACTTGCGTAAGAAATCACGGCAAAAGCACAGTTGGTGGGAGTAGTTGGAGCAATAATTCAGGGTTTCTACATTACTTGATAATTTCAGATCGCAGATGGAAATATCTGAGAGAAGCATCTCATAAATCACACGGTCTGTGGTTTTCCCCCTTTTCCCTGCTGTGTTACAATGGAAAACTGCAGCTGGTGCTTCCAAAAGCCATGAAATAACATACAGGCCCTGGCAAGTTCCAGTCCAGCTAAAGCAAACCCCACTCCAGCTTGCAGGTCACCAAACCCACAGCTGCATTTTGCTGACTGTAATTTGCACCTTTCCACCAGCGTATTTGACTGCTCTGATACCTTTCCCATCAGCACTGATTCAACACTGTTCTCATGCCAGCCTTGCACCCCTTAAATACAACTGCAACCAGTGGATTTCTGATAGGAAACATGGAAGACAGTATGGGCTATGTGAGAAACAATATGAGATTTTTTTCATATGATTCTCCAATACAAAGAGAGAAGACAGGGACTTAACTCAGTTACCATGCTGTAACCCAGCAAGTTATCATGCTGTAACCCACCAAGAGAAGATGCTTGTCCCCAGAAGATCTTCTCTGCTGCTGCCTCTCTCCATGGCCAGGAGAAAGCCACACGAGCGTAGCAGCAGAGATGCCTGGTAGCACTTAGTGCTGCAGCTCTGCTGTCCAAGCCACATTCTCCATCAATGCTCAGCCTCATCAACACAGCAGTAAATTGTCACCATCCTTCCCTCGATGCTGCCCCAGCTGCTCTCACAGCCCTCCCTGTCCCCAGTTTACCCACAGGGCTCCAAGCGAGCATTGTGCCATTGACGTAGAGCAGCAGCATCTTTGTGCTGCAGCCCAGGACACGCTGGAGTCCAGGATGTGGCCCCTTGATTACCCTGTAGCTATGCTAATGGTTTTCTATTTTAATTACATGGAAGTCTAAACATGCTGCAGGGTCTGGCTAATTCTGCAAGCACAGAGAAAAGCCTCTGCATCAGCCGGCAGCTTATTGCTTTAGCATAATAAAGGTAAAGTGACACAGGGGACATGAGTTTTCTATGATCCCACCTCGGCTGCCTGCAGGTCCCAAGAGCCACAGAGCAGGAGGAGAGAGGGAGGGACGGAGGGAAGGAAGGCAAAATAAACAGATAAATCCCTGGACCATATGGCTTGTGCTCGGTATCTTTACACATGAGGCACCCCACTTAATAAAAGTTTAGGATGGAAAAGCTGAATAAAATTGATAATCTGCCCAGGGAGGGTGATTCAGATGGAGTAAGCACATTACAAGGGGGTGACTGATTTACAGTTTTCTTCTATTTGCAGTTTTATGACTATTACAGTTATTCTTGTGAATATAATTCATTACTGTGCTATTATTCCCAGAAGTGAAAAGCAAAGGTTTATCAACTGACACCAGCAAGCATGAAATACTGCCCCAACGCACAGCTCTACATTGGAACCAAAGCTGAAGACCAGCTAAGGAGTCAGGAGCTGAGTGCTCGCCCTTCTCCATCCCCATGTGACCTCTGGGGATGCAGGCAGAGGGAGTCAGCTCAAAGCCTCCCTGTTGGATAAGGAGGAGGTGATGAAGCAAACAGGGATTCGCATGACCAGGGTCTCATCCTCCAAAGGATGATGGACACAGGAGTAGGAGGATGAGGCTGGCTCAGTTACTTGGAGAGAAGTGGTGCAGGTGTGAGTGCTGGCAGGCACTGGGGAGATACAGGAGCTGGGGACCAAAGAGGGTCAGGCACACTGCCTCTCACAGGGACACAGCATTCCCCAGGCATGGGTTTGGGAACAGCATCTCACTGTGGGGTGCCAGTAGGGCAGGCTGATGGTCTTGAAACCGAGAGAACATGACCTGGAGCCAGAAAGGATGAATTCAGGGGAGGGTTTTATTTTGATAACAGCTATAGCTGGGAGGCATGGACTAAACCAGGGGTCTGTACAACTTTAAAAGAGGTGTAGAGAGGACTGAAATGGACCTAAGGTTG